TATTGGTATATATATATTTTTTTTAATTCTTGTATTTGTAGGGCCTATCTAAGCTAACAATTAGCCTAGTTGGTAGAATCTGCACATAGAGTTATGAATCTTCCTCACAAATGTGAGGGGAACTAACTCCTGATAATCTGATGGCTGCTGAGAGTGCTTGTTTAGTTTGTTTTTTCCCTCGACTTTTTACCGTCCTGTAATCAGGTCGTAACCTCGATTATGACCCCAGATCATGGCTGCAAAAGGCTAGGTTGGACAAAAACAGCCAAATTTGAAAACAAAATTTAACTCTTTTTCTGCAGAATGGGGTTTTAGACAAGGTTAATTATAATTCTAGGTTTCTGAAACCAAAAATGACTTCAGTTTTGCTCTCTCACGTCAAGTTTTTCCTCTATGGCATAACCACCGCTTTTGCGTCATACAACTGGATTAGCTATAATAACAACGAATTATGTAAACTATGTTCAAGACGTTGTAAAAAAAAGCAATAGTGTATAAATCAGGCAAATCCTCAATTTCACAAAAGCAATGGGCACAAGGTTAACAAATTGAACATTTACTTCAGTTTGATGCAACATGTTCATGGCAAAAACTTTCTTTTGCGGGATTGTTTGGGCTGCGTTAAGTCTGGACAGTCTCTTTGAGAGCTTAAACAGTTGGTGTCCCATCAGCCTTGATACCTCGCCTCTATAATTGTAGTCTTTGTGAAATCTTTCTCTTTGCTCATTACTGACATCATCAAAGTTTTGAGAAAAATCAACTGAATAATAGATTTTAGAAATGAACCTTGATGCTCGTGTTGCCGCCAAAAAGATGGAAGTTTTCTTACAAAATGTCCTTGTTCTTGGATTGTTCTGCTTCTCTGTCGCCTCAAAAACATGCACCAAAGACACAAACGAGTGTCGTAGTTCCTATCTTTATGTTATGTCACTCATTGAGTCTGAGATCAGTTTACTGATTTTTAAAAAAAAAAAAAAAAAAAAGAAAAATAAGTCTCCAAACCTGCAGTGTAGCGCACAACAGGGATTGTAAGTCATTATACTGGACTCTGTCATTAGTGGACTGGATGGCACTCTGTAAAGAAACAAAATAGCAAAAACTACATTCACAACGCCCACTAAAAATACATTTTTTGAAGCCACACATAACCAAGTGGACATCACACAATAAAAATGGAACACAAATCTGCACCATTAACTCTTGTCCTGCGTCTTGTGCCGAGATGCGATTCTTATGAGCTATTATGTTGGACGATCCGGGTGAGCCGTCGAGGTCACTCAGCGTGTACTGTTGATGTACAGTGAGCAGGCCTGGAAACGTGCGTTTTCGCCATGAATAATGTGGGAGTGTGTTAATCGATGATGAAAATAACGCTCTTTCTTTTATAGCTTTCTATTTATAAAGTGTTACGAACACATGAATAACCCTCTCTCATTAGCTGATAAGACATTACGATTAGTTACGCTCATTCGAATAACCTTTTCAGACGCTCTTGTTGTTCTGAATGATCTGAGGTTCGAAAGGGGATAATATAGGTCCCGACAACCAAATTGTTCTTAAGACCTGCACAATGGTATTCAAAACTACCAAATAAGCATATATTTTCATACAAAATCAAGCTCATTTTGAAAGATTTCGTACAGAAAAATGGAAGTCCTGACTATGCTCCTCCCAGGGTTAAGACAGGTCAACAGCAGCATAATAGCAAAATCTAATACAAAAATGGCAAGAACGCAACTGCTATAGCTTGCTTCCTTTCACTACATAAAGAACACTTCTTTACAGACAAAAAGAAATGTCACAACATTACAGATTACCTCCATGGATAGGACTCGTTCAAGTCTTTCAAGGATGGTCATTGTTGTCTTCTGTACAATCACATAGCAATTCTGAAGAAGGAAAAAAAGGAACAAAACTGATATTTACAGAACATTAGCTGTGGAAAAAGCAAAAAATCTTCCATGGCACAGACAACAAAATTAGAGAAATCTTGCAATACCTGAGAACCACCAGATTTTAAAAAAAAGTTTATACAACGCAGACTGAGTTTTTTGGGAGGAGTATAAGGGAATCACTCAGCTCCAACTTCTGTTATCTTCCTGGTTACAACTACCCCTGCCTATTTTTAGTTGAAATATGACAGAGATGGCAACTCTTGGGTATTTTTCTCATACTGCGGGAAGAACAGAACCAAAAACAAAGCAATCAAAAACAGCTTTGAGATTGACTCGACTTGGCGGTGCTCACCTACAAATTCCGATACAAATAATGCTGTTCTGCATTTCTAGCCATTGAAGGAGGCCCCAATTTTCACAATATTATTACTATGCTACAGCAAGACAGAACAGGAACAAATGTTCCCTCAGCTCAAACCAGGATTCTGTTTCTTCAACCACTTATCAGACATGCAAATTACCAAAATAAAATTCCGTTACAAAGAAAAGACAAAGACAGACTCTTGCTTAGACCAGGTTTTTACATGGCATGATCTTAAATAAAGTGCCTTAAGTTTGTCCTGAGCCAGCCAACATAAAAACATCCATGAATTTGACATGTGGAATCAATATATTAAAAAGACATACAAAATTTTGCACTGCACCACAAACCTTTGGACTGTTCTTCACAAGTTCCATGAGGGCCTCGTATGCTGCATTGCGTAAATTATGCTGGTTACCATCAGTTCTGGAAAAAGTAATTTTTCAGTCACATAAATATAACAAAAGAAATGCACAATGCTCAAATCTAAAAGAAAAGGATCTCAGAGCTTCACATTTTCCAAATTTAAGTTTACACAATTCTATATTTTTGATGGTGTATCGCCGACATAAACATTTCAATAATGAAAACGGTTGTTTCCCTTTATAATGCTTCAAAAGAAAGCGTTTTGGGTCTTCAGACCATGGAAAGAAACTGACCTACCTCCTTGTTTTAAATTCATTCTGTCAGCCCAGTTTTCAATAGTGAGGAATTAAACATAAAGTACCAATTGACTATGAAATACAGAGGCGTTGTATTAAATAAGACAGAAACTACATGACAGCCACTTCATGTAATTCAAATATTACAGACGCAAGAGCATGCACTTTTAAGTAAAACTTCACAACAGTTACTACAGACTAAAAACAACATGCGTTGCTCAGGCAGGCATTCACCTCTCAGCTGTCTGCAACAATCTCTCCACAATGGTCTCAAAGTAATTGGAAAGACAGTAGGTCTCTGGTTCAGAACCATCGTCAGGCTGCTCAGCATTGTCGTAGGCCGCCTCCGCCAAGCTAGAAAATGCCTGCATACCAGAACACAACGATTTAAGTCACTCAATGGTTTCCAAAAACTAAAACTCAACATCACTAACCTCTTCAACCATTCCCCTTTCACTTGAGGAAAATACGGAATGAAAACAAAAAATCCATGCATACATGTTTAACAAAGAGTAAACGCTTACACAAATCATTTGAGAGGCAGCGTGGTGGAATCAGGCTCTCGTCAATTTTTGGGCATGTAGAGTTATTGGTACCATCTTAAAGCTTGTTCACTTGTTTTTATTTGGAAGAAAAAAAATATCCATTTATCTTGAGTACATGTCGAGATATTTGCGAATGAAGGAGGTGGGGGTCACCTGTTTTCAGAGGTAAAATTAGTGAGCAAATGGTGTTTAAAGATTAGTTATTCCTTTATCTGAAGAGTCCATGATAACTAAAAATTAAATTATTTTTTTAACTTTAATCAACGTTTTTCAGAAAAATCCACACAGAAATGAGTTCTTTAATGGGCATGAAAGGTGTTGAGCCAAAACAACAAAAATTTGATGAAAATTCACAAACCTGTGGAAAAACGCAAGTTTCTTCAATTTGATTATTTTGACGAGAGCTTGATTCCACCACGCTGCCTCACATTTTTATAATGAAATGGTCAGCTTCAGTGTCATGGCTACAAAGACAGCACATCATCTACTGCCAAAAATAAAATTGGCAAGTTACCGACCTGGAACTGTCTCCATGTAAAAGACTGAGGCAGCGTGGTGAAATCAAGTGCTCATCAAAATAATGAAATTGAATAAACTGGCATGTTATTGAATTTTTTTTAGCTTTTTGACTAACACCATTGTAGTCCAAGTCAGAACACATTTCTGAGTGAATATTTACTGAAAAACATTGATTAAAGGCACAAAAAAAGGTAAGTTTTCAGTTTCCACAGACTATCAAGCTATAGAAAATACCACTTTGGCGGCCATTTTCTCGCTAATTCTACCTTTGAAACCAGGCAACCCCATCTTTTTCAATCTCAAATATCTTTACTTCTATTCAAGATAGACAGGAATTTTTTCATCGACAGCAAGACAACTGAACAAGATAATTCCAATAACTCCTCATGCCAAAAAGTTGACAAGTGCCTGGTTCCACCACGTCGTGACACATTTAGGGCAGTAATATTATAATTGCACCCTCCCTGACAATTTTATTCATTTAAATGTCAAATCTCAACTTCTTGGACAACATATGAATGCCAAGTAAAAGCTGTCCTCCATTATCATCCAAATCTTCAAGGATCTGAAATTTGTAAACAACCTACAAGCAGCTGGGGTTACCTAGGAATGTAATCGATTCAGTGTTGTCGTTATCGATCCAGGAACTACCTAGGAAATAACCATGATTTTTCCCTTAGACATGATACTGTAACAAATTGCAAACCCAATCTTTTATCTGTGATGGCAACCACATATCAACAACTCACCCAACAGACATTGCTTGCTACCCTCGGCTCGGCCACTAGTCCTTCTACTAAAGCATTGAGCAGTGGGTGCAAGCAGGCCTCGTGGAGCACAGAGTTGGGCAGGATCTCGCACACACGACCCACAGTCCAAGCAGCAGTGTCACGCACCACCACACTGGGGTCCTTCAGCAGCTCTATCAGCATTGGCATCGCCTGTTCGACTATCGGTTTCATCTTCTCGGGATCTGGACCTTCCAAGACGGAACCTAAACATTTGGGGGGGAAAAGAGCATGTATTTGATACAGTGTTTAAGGGTACATTGGCCTCATCATTTCACCCATACGGGGGGGGATCCCCACCAAATTGCAGCATAAACAACAAAACAGTTGAAGCCCCCCCCCCCCCCCCCCCAAATTCGCTTCAGCAGTTTTTTCACCATGGGCTTCCCCTTTTGGATTTTGGGTTTTTTTTTTTGGGGTTTGGGCCCTTCCAAGGGGGAACCAAAACTTTGGGGGGGGAAAAGGGCATTTTTTTAAAACAGGTTTTAAGGGTCCATGGGCCCCATCTTTTCCCCCAAGGGGGGGGGGTTCCCCCCCAAATTGCAGCATAACCAAAAAAACAGTGGAACCCCCCCCCCCCCCCCCCCCCAATTCGCTTCCCATCCCAGACTATCAATTTTCATACAGAGGCATGTCGGCATAAACTATTGTTATCCTCACCAAATGCCATGACGGCAGCGTCCCGATACCGCCAGTCCTCATGGCGGATGTTGTCCCTCACAAATGGCAGCACATGCTGTACCACGTCATCCTCACAACAGGTAGCCAGGAGCATCAGACATACACCCGCTGCTTTGCACGGGTTCCACTCGTCATCATCATCAAACTCTTCCTGCATGCAACATACAAAAGTTGTCACTACTTTGGGGGGAGGGTGACACACAGGGAAAACCCCACTTCCACACACACAAAATGTGCAAGCACACTTTTCTTTTTAAAAATTTAGATACGCAAAAAATTTAAAGATCATATCGCACTTCCCTTTAACTTTAAAGCATCAAAATTGCTTCAATGCGTAGACTAAGACAAATGGTCTTTTACATTAACTGTTTATAATAACATTCAAAAGCCCTTAGTCCAAAAATAAGATTGACAAAAATTAGCAGATCAATGTTTTCAATATCAATATAATGCTGTGCTTGCCTCATCTTTTTGGTCAGTGGACCAATAAAAATATAGACACAGTCTAAGAAGATGAGGGGACAAACAAAAAATTAATGAGAATAAACAATTTGTACTTTAAGAACCTTCCACACACAACCCAAAGAATGCATAAACAAACTTGGCATAAAGAGTTTTTTTTGCCTCACCTGTTTGGTCAGTGAAACCAGCAGAATGGGGACAAGATACTGCAGGGCACCCTTGGCATAGAACATGCTTGTGCGCTCAGGTGGTCGCCCTTGCTCAGCTGCCTGAAGAGGAGCACCGAAAACTTAGTGAACTTTCACAGCTTTCAAGTCAAGCAGAACAAACAAATACATATAAAGTACAAGAAGAGGTAACTAGTAAAAACTAATTAAAATTATAACAGACAATGGCCTTAAACCTGAGATCAAGTTAGTTTAGTTTTAGAAGATGTTTTACTGCGCTCGCAACTGCATAAGGTCATATGAGCGCCAGATTAGGAGGAGCTACAAGAGAGTAACAAACATAAAAAAGAAGGGGAGATAAGAATGATAGATGTTTAATAGGAATGAAAAAGCAAACCACACCAGAGCACCCGCCAACCACCCACAAGTTAACGCAACAGTTCAAACTACTCATGCTAAAAACAAAAGCTAAACCTACCAGATCACTTTTTACGGTGTGAACAAAAACTAAACCCATGGACAAAAACATGACATTTTGGTGGGGAAAATTTTAACCAAAAAAAACACCCACAAGGGATCAAGATCTACAAAACCCATCAAACAATTTGAACCATTAAGAACACACTCTTAATGTCATTCTTTAAAAAATTGTCAACTTACTTCAGACAGCTCTATCGCTAAATCAACCTCCTCATCACAGACTGTGGACCAAAATTCAATTCCCTGCAATGCAATCTCGTCATTCTCATGTTCCATGGCATCAATTGTGATCTGTGTAAAAGATATCAGACAATTATAGGGTGTGCAAACAATATAGAAAAACTAACTTTTGTTCACCTTCAAAGGCGAAATCTACATGCTATTCTTTTAACTCATTCGCTACGTATTATTTTCGGCTTGTGGACGAATTCTTTTCGGGAGGGTGAAATGAGATGATGACTAGTGCGCAGTTCACAGGTCTTTGGGGCCATAAATTAAAATAAATATCAACATATTATATACCAACATTTTCAGTATGGTTTGTAGAATACATCTGCATTATTTATTTGCGTATTTTTCAACTTTGGTTCCTGTAAGAGGCGATTATGCAACACAATTGTGATTGGATGCGGATAAAATTGGAAAATAAAAAATTTATAATCTCAGGTGAAACTGAAAAAAATATGTTTGCACCTAGTCAAATGATACCTCAAAATAACCATAACTGTATATAGAACAGGAAAATATTGAAAAATGTGCAGTTATTTACATACATTCCACAATATTTGTACATTTGAATCATAACATCCGATATTGAAAATTTTTATTTTTTTAAAAATAATTTTGAAAAAAAGGATCACAAACAGAAAAAAATATGCGTAACATATTGGAATTATTCAGAATTGCATTTGGAATAGACCTATACATGTCTTGAGCGGTACTTTTTGATTAATTTCTCCCAAAAGTAGTGATTTTGGGGAGAAAAAAATATTTTGACTATTTAACTATTTAAATCTAGCACTCAAAAATATTGATTTCTCAATTACAGCACACCGGCAATTTGCGTCCAATAGTATCAATATTATAAAGAAGAGTCCTACACTTCTTTAGTGAGCAAAATAATGATACATTTTGTTGTGTAAAAGTAATAAGACTGGTGTCTGGGCTATAATTTGGGCTTCGCGATAAAACAAAGTCGAATAAACTACGAAATCATGTTTCAAAACTGAATCAAAACTTCCGATTGTCGGTGGAAACGCTTGACCCGGAAGTCAACATTATATTATGACCTTTATTTTAACATGGATATGTGGATTGGAATAGAAACCAAGCTAAAATTGAACGTCGGTTCTCACTGCCGGGGGCGGCTTAGCGTACTGGCGGCACTTGAGCCGCGCTGCCCCCCACGGCTCGGCATAGCGAATGAGTTAAATAAATACAGATACACAATCTCAGGACCAGTTTGTTGTATAGCGCATATGCACTCCACCACTACATGTAGAAGACGTGAGATCAATTCCCGTGCGGGGAGAACTTTTATCAAGTATCTCTTTTTGTTGGGATGTCGCGTCTCTCTGAGCCCATGTTGTCTTTGATAGGCTGGATTGAAGCAAGTCTCTAAATCAGTATTTATTGTGATGATAGGGGCGAAAAACACCAATCATGTATTCCGACAACCACCAATATATTATATCTTTCAAATTGATACAAGAAAGCATTAAAAGGAGATCACAGACATTAATATTTTCATGCAAAGACAAAATAAAGATTTAACAAGAAAACTAATAGTTTCCCATCCTCATTGAAGTCAATGGATTTTAATGTTTGAATAATTCTACGTTGCACATGAAGCACATCTGCTATATAAAAAAAGTACAAGAGAACAATAAATGACAAACTCACAGGCAGTAAGCCTCCATTTGAAATGCTTAACTTATCTAAAATCTAAATTTTAATATGATAAAAAAATCACTTACGGCAAAAAGTGCTGGCCCCATATAGTGGGTCATGTAAATATAAAACAGAGACATGATCTTCACCAAGCACTGCATCGCTGCCACTCGAACCTGAAACAAACAGTTTAATACCGACTATTTAGAGCTTGGAAAACAAAACATAATCTGAGAATTGGAAAGAGATTCTACATACAATCTGCTGTACTGTATAAAAAGCATATGTATTTTGGGGACATTTTTATTTATTAACTCTTTTTCTCACCAGGGCAAAATCCACCACTGGCCCAGGGCTTTTCCCTGACCTAATTTTACACCCCTACCCCACCGAAGGAAAATGTCAAAACATCCAACTAAACACACACACACACACCATATCATGTGGCCCATCAAACTGTAGGTTAAAAAATTATCAGATGGTGGTAAAATATTGAAGATTTATTCCAATTATATTAGTTTGGGGTTTCTAAAAGTGATTATATTATTATTATGCAATATCGAACATGTCGTACGAAATCAACAATTTTCCAGCTTTGAAAGGTCATAACTAAAAAAAGTACAACAGCATTATTCTAACTTCCCAGGTATGTTGCTCAAGTAATGCAAAGAAAGGCTGAAAGTTATGTATGTGTACTTATTATAGAAGTGAAGAAAATATGAAGCTCTGAGATCCTTTTCTTTTAGATTTTAGCATTGTGTATTGTTTTGTTATATTTACGAGACATATAACTGAAGTCACAGGAGCACTTTTCTCTTCAATTTTACGTTTCGAAGGGGAAAGAAAAAAGCACTGTAATGACTAAAAATCGTCTGTCAGTGCTATATTATCTTTCATACCCGCGAACAGGAAGTCTATTCTATTATTTCAAAAACATTGATCGGTTGAGAATTTCGTGCCTTTTCATTACTGGATTGGAAAAGACAGCAAACCACTCGAGCCGGATTTTGCGTCTCTCGGCCCAGCGAGGCCACGTCCGCGAGTCGCCAAATTCGGCTCGCGGTAGGAAAAGTGTTAAGCTGCCATAACTGAACAAGTAAATATGAATGGGTGTGACTAAAACAGGAAAAGAGCCAGAGGCGAATTTCCATAACGTTTAAGTTTTGTCTACAAAGTAATTGAAGTAATGCAAAAACTAATTAGAAATAAGAAAAAAGATTCCTTGGTCAGTTTGTTGAAAAATAGCTGTAGTATACACATGCAAATGTGCACCAAGGTACAAATAAATAGTGCGGATGGTGAGATTAGTATTATAACAAAATTGAAAATGGCCACCACTAATGTTCACATGCAAACATGGGTCAGTCCACCAGAACGGGCCACTTACTAGTTACGTTATGCTTGCTCTAGTATCAAAGTTGTAATGTATTCTATTGCAACCACATTAGAGCAATTGGTCTTTAAAAATATAAGGAGGCTCCCATAAGTATAAGAATGGTTGCACCTTTCTAGTTTTTCTGGAAAAAAAAAAGGCCTAAAAATCAGTACGATTTTGTTACATGAATGCATATGTACTTAACCCTTTCAACACTCCTGAACACCTATAAAAACAGACAGGACGGATTGAAAGCTCTCCAGCTGGTGGCAGAGAGACCCCTCTTTCTTCCTGCCACACCCAAAAGGGTATAAGCGGCGTATAAAAGTAAAGTGAAAGTAAAGTATTAAGTTTTAAGTTTGCCGTCTGATAATGAAAACTGGTTGAATCCCTTTATTCTGACAAGAGCCAGGAAAACTTTTTTTGGTCTGATTTGGTTTGCATTATTTGTCCAGTAACGTATATGGGTTGTAAAATGCACATTTTCAAATCAATCGTAATACTTTTTTTTTCTAAAACTAAGAGGGGATTTAAAAATAAAACGAAATCCATGAAATGCAACATTTGTTTGTTAGTTTTTTATAAGCTATTATAACTATTTTGGACTTGTCACACTCTTAACAAATAACTACAAAAGCTGGAGATCTGTTCTTTTAAAATATCATCAATGAATAAATGTACCATCCAATCATCAAATCAGCATGAATAATACAGACATCTTGAATTTTCACGTCTGATGTAACATAAAGTGTCCCTTACTGGTGGACTGACCCATAAATTAAAAAATATTTTACCTCAAAGCGCCCATATGACACTTAAATCCTTCCTAGAGTTACCAGTTCGAATGAGAACTTTAACCAGTTTTGCCCTTTAATATCATGACTGTGATAGAGAACATTGACCCCACAAACATGAACCACTTCTGCTAAAACAGGATGAAAACATGAGTCAGTCCAAAAACAAAACAAAAGCAACAACAAATAAATGAAATCAAAAGAGTGAGGAGAATTTGCACATACCCGCACATCTGTTGACTGGGTGGCTTCACACACCACTTGCATAATGAGATGGCGTTCTGTCTGAAAAAAGAAAGTCATGAATATATACATGGGCTGTTTATCAAAATGATGATTCATAGAAATCACCCAAAAAGGCTCAAAATCAAGGCAAACGCAAATATGATTCCACATGGTGACTGCCAAACAGACTGCTGTACCGCGCATTCATTTTCGAGGGGAACATTATGTAACAGTGATGACACATGCAGCATTGTACATGTATATCTGTTGTTTTTGTCTGTCTATATTAAATACACATATATAGGATTTATAATTTATTTCTATGTTAAACACATATGCATCTAACTACATACATAAAATTTCCACATGACAATGGGGGCACTGAGGCTGTGTTTGACTTATGTATTTCAGCCTGTTTTTACTAACGTCTCATTCCCTTCACCATTCAAAAAAGTAATTAATGTGCAAGACAAAACTTATTGTATGAACAAGTTGAAAAGAGAGATTCATAAGTAGTCGAAAGAGAAGTAATACTAAAAAAACGGACAATCTTAACAAAATAGCTAAAGCACAGGTAAAATCATCAACCCAATGACAAAGAGTGCACTTTTGTTCAATAATAATGTACTAAGACTTCCCTTGCATTTTCACACAAGACTTGGCACAATAATAAAGCATACTATCCAGCAAATTGTTATAAAATCTAGAGTCACGTCTCCAGTTCCTTATTGCGTCAAGCACTTGAAGAGTACCTTAAAAAAACATACACCCCTGTGCTTCAGAACTCTTCACTACATCACATGTCAAGTGACAATGAGCTTTGGTGACCCCGACACATACCCTACTCCCACGAAGTCAGGTCACATACTGTGAACAAATGCATGGCTGAAGCATTTAAGCCGATCGGTCATGATGACAAGCCCAACTGACTAGACCTCGAACAATGCTTATTTTGCTTTTGTTATACTTGACAGTAGAATTACAAATATTGATTTATTTGCATAGGGCGCCACTACATTTATAATGCACATCCTACAAATCAAAACTATTTCAGTTATTGGAAAATTCTGGGCAATAGTGATAGAGAAAGTATCTTGATTTTTTTCCTGATCAAGACTGTCCGGCTTCGATATCCCAGGTGCACATCTGCCATGGCCACATGCTTCCTGAATACATTCTCAAATCTGAGAAAGCCAAATGAATACCACATACGCTAGTAGCAAATGTGAAAGTACTGACCTTATCAGATTTGGTTTTCAAATATTGGTGAGCTTAACAAATTTTCCTAAGGCAATTTACAGATTTACTCAAATTCCCGGGGCCTGGCAGACACCCTGATTACATATTGCAGTAGGAAGTCCATGCAATACACACTGAACCATAGCTTGTTCACTTTCGCCTGACCGCAGTTAAAACAAAGTAAAATTAAATTGTTCTAATCGATCATCTCAAATCTGTCCATCTCAGTCTATTGATGACTAACAGAATCTAAAAGCCCATATAAAGATCAAAGAAAACTAAGGATCTGACATTTTTCTTTGATGAGATGCAAGCCCAGGGCTGCCTATCTCAAGTTCTGATTTTAGGTAGATTCAGGGTCTTTTCAGGTATTTTGGAAAAAAATCAGGTACTAAAACAAGGAAAAAGAAAAAAAGACAAACATCACAGCTGTACAAGTAATTACCATCCAGCTCAGCTTGCTTTTAGGGATATTAGGTAGTTCTATTTTTTTTTAAACTTATGAGCGCCCGGAATAGTGAGAGCAGTTTTTGTCTTTGTAAGTGTTTTACGGCACTTGCAACTGCATAATCAAATAAGCACGCGGCACACATTAAATATTTTCAGTTTGGTAGAAATTAACTTTGAATTTTGCCCACGTGGAACCCAAAAAACCCCTACTCATCAATTTTGGACGACAAAGGTATTTTCAACATGCGTAATTTTCACACGGGACCTCTGAAATTTTTCACCCTTATCCGAGAAGGCTAGGTTTTAGATCTTACCTACATTAAGATCAGGGGTGTGACAAAGTCAGCAGCAAGAAAAGAGCTAAGGAGTAGCAGTAGAAGGGCTACAGAAAGAGTCAGGAGCCTAGACGAGGGGGCAGGGGGGGAGGGAAAGAGAAAGTAGAGACGAAAGCAGACCACAGAACATGGTTAGAGAACAGGAAAGGAGGTGAAAGAAAATTTTTTCCACCACTGTCCGAATTTAGTACTAGTAGTAGTATAGGGTTTTACGGCGCTCGCAACTGCGTAAGGTCATATGAGCGCGTGAAACACAAGTTGCTTAATTTCGCAAAAGTTCACTGCACGATTGGTTCACTATTTGACTTTAAAATGCTAAAATATTAAAATTCGGTGTAAATATATTTTCAATTTAAAACAACTCTTATAATTAACAATAGAAATTTTAAATAGTATTCAACGATTTCACTTTACAATTTGCCATAAAGGCCAATGGCCTTCATAAAATTCAATATTCTGCTGGGAACAACGACGGAAAAAATGTCCTGCAATTTCTTGCATTTATAATATTTCCTTCGGATCTCTCCAAAGTCTAGACATTCGGTTAAGATGTGTCGCATACGGCTTCTCATTTCCCTGTAGGAAGTATTTGTGGGTCAGGGCCTTGTGTCCCATGCGCAACCGAGTAAAAATGACTTCGTCTCTTCTGGAGAGGTCCGAAGGATTTCGCTGTTCTAGTTTGGGTTTTATTTCATATAGTTTATTGTTTTTCTGCTTTTCCCAGTGGCTCTCCCACAGACTGGAGGTGTACTTTTTTACTTTATTTGTAAAGTCAGTCTGTGGGAGAGTTTGTCGTTGATCCCAGCAGAAGGGATGAGGCTTTCTTCGCCAGGTCGTCTACCTGCTCGTTTCCTCGGATGCACACATGGCTGGGTATCCATGCGAACATGGTGTTTTTTCCTGTTTCGGATAGTGTATGAATTTTCTGTTGTAGCCTAACTATTTTTGGATGTAGGAGTGTGTAGTTTGTGAGAGAGGTGATGCAAGACAGAGAGCCAGAAAGGATAAGGAAAGATTTGTTAGGAGAGTTTTCTACGGAGTCCAGTGCCATGTCCGAATTTAAACCGGGGACCTATTGAAACTTTCAGAAAGAGAGGCAAACACCATAACCCCTGGCCCGAAGATAGATGGAACAAATGAGTGAATGAAAGAAAGGAGGAAAATTTCCTTATTGCTACAGGTCAGATTTTGACCAGTATGCAATAAATCAGAGGGATCATGGTCGAGTGCACAAAATGCGCAATCTGTCAGGTGTCTTATACAATTTATTGCCAAGAGTTACCGTAAATATCCAAACTCATCCAAGAAATTACAGAGGCGAGTACTGATCCTTTGTTACAGATAACAAAAGGCCCACACTTTAAATATTTTTAGTAAATATGAGTTGATATGACAAGTATGGAACTTTCGAGATTTTTCAGATTTATTTTTTAAACAAAAGATTGGAAGCACTGCAGAATGGGCCATTTCTTTCTTTTACTCTCGGCGTGCATCGCAAATTCGGAAGCTTTGACACCTTTATCAGTATATAGTAGTAGAACAAGTCCACAATCAGTAACGGAAATATAGGGTTAAGGCATACACCTAAAACATTAAAAAGTTGACAGATTTTTCTCAACACCACACTCAAACATACGCCTAAGAAACACTAACGATTAAAAAAATGGGGTGAGTACTTTGCGAGACTCATAGAGACAGTCGTGGGAAGAAATCTACAAGCTTATACTGATTTGCAGGGGCAGGGTAGAGTCGCTGTCTCAAAATAAGCAGTATGTAGACTAGATTACTGTAAGTCATTCATTGTAGTAATCCTGTGTGTGCATCATTCATTGTAGTAATCCTGTGTGTGCACCCAAAGAGTGGTTTGTAATATAGTGCGCAAATAGAAAAACATTTCTGGATTAAGGCCATCTGCGGGTAAATTTCCCTAATTATTACCGACTTTGATTTATGCAATATTTTTTCCTCCATTTTTGAAACCTGCATCCATTTCCCCCGAAATTTCAAGCGCCCGTTTCAATCAATTATGTTTAGAAGCCATGTAAAAATGGGTTTTAAAAAATAATTTGCAATTTGGGGGCTTGTTTTTAAATATTTTCTTCATTTTTGGGAAAAACTTATTTTTCCAACATCAAACAACGCCTTCTCCATTATTTTTCATCCGAATGGCTTCATTGTTTGACACAATGTGCATCCACAGGTGATCTTTACTGAAATAGAGCCTCTTTTTGAAGATAAGAAAAAGTTATAACCAGTGTTTTTGTTGGGAATTTCAAGTTTTTTTTTCTATTTGTCCATAGTACATATTTCTAGAGTCCATAATTATTTTCATAACCGTAATAATACAAATCTGGTGTTACTTGTTTATTACATAGGTGTTGTAGTTTGTTTCCTAAAAATGAAAGCAAACGGACGAAAAATAAGAGAGAAGATAGCTTTTGAAACTTGATGAAATTATCCAATATGGCGGACGTTTGCTTGGTTACCATGTGCTTATAATAATAAATAATTACTTGAATGTATTCTTTGATGTCTGACTAATATAAATATATCATCGTTGCTATATTTAGTCAAGGGATATGGATTTTAGAAATTTCACCAGCAGATTTTTTTTACAACTTTGGTAGCCAGGCAGTGTCATGGGCATAGGTAGATTAATCCAGACACCTGTCAATTTTAGGACGTGTGCAGTTACTGTTATCAGCTTATTCATTTTTGTTTTTCATTTGTCTTGCTTTGGATGAAAAAATTACCCATCTTGAATAGAAGTCAAAATATTTTAGCAATGCCAATGAAAATTTTAATTTTCACTTTAGCCCTTTCTTTTTGGTACCTAAGAAAGAATTTTCAATTCTAAGAATTATGCTTCTTGAATTATGAGAATCGGTTCTTAAATATAAAAAGTTATGGGGTTGTAAAGGTCGGCAAAATATGGATGACCCACATATAGGAAAATACTCCTAAAAAGTGGACCACGCAGTAGCAGATTCTGTAAGAAAATCGACGATATCTCGGTAACTAATCGGAGTGTTCGAGAGAAACTTGGCTACCCGATGTGTTTTTTAGTTTAGAAATCATTTCTGCAGTCAGATTTACTACCAATTTCGTAGTTATTTTGTTATAATTAAAATTGTGGTGTACATATTACGATTTTGCGAAAAAGGGGTGTCGGGATGAGTCCATTTTATTTATAGCATCGTATCACAACATGGGATCTTTAAGAATATATGTCGGCAGCGTGACTAAATAATTGCAAAGCTTTTTATGATGACTTTAGACCATGCCAACCGTAAAAGATAAGTCAATTCAATCTAGCATGCAGTGCAATTAAAAATTCTTTTTCCCCGTTGAGACGCGAACACCCCAAAACGAGATAACCTCGCCTAGGAATACCCCCATTGCGATGTTACAGGGTAATAGAGAGAAAAACAACCGGATGCGCGTGCCTGCCATTGCCCTATCTCAAGTGACCAATGAACGGGCCCGGAATAGTCATGCGGGGATTTGTAGGTCACATACATTTGCCACGTGAGTGAGGGGAAAATGGCCGGTCTCCGTGCGAAGCCGCTTTGGATAGGGGGGTAGTCGTGCATTTATGATCGGGTCTAAACAACTACTTGACACAGAACTTTCAAATTTGAGCACACTATAGAGGATAGATAGATCTATTACCATCTCGGCGTTGAAATCCAAACTCCTTATAGTTTTCGGTGTACACGATACGAAAGTGTTCCCGACACCAAAAGTATAGGTTAATTTATGTGTACGAACTTCAACGTCCACATATCATTAGTTTGCCCTATTTTCTGATTGGTTGCCGAGTTTCATTCGGATTGGTTCGGAAATAGAGCAGACCGAGGTTGACAAAGTTAGTCACCTACGCTTCGGCCGGGTCCGCAAAATCGCCCGTAAACGGAGACCAAAATTTCGCCGCGCGGGAAAGCCCAATTCGCATTGCTAAATATTTGCAATTGAAGGAGGTGGGGGGTCGGCTGGTTTCAGAGTTAAATTTAGCGAGAATATGGCTGCTGAAGTGAGGTGACTTCAAAAGCATCAATGGTAAAAGGGTAATGGTTTGTTTGGGTTTTTTTGGTCAGTGTGGTACACTCACACCTGCATAGGGCTCTATGAGAGCGCGGGACACATTAAACATTTTGACTCTGAAGAACACAAAAAAAAAAAAGAAGACCCGAACGGCCACAAAAATGCCGAGTTACTTGATTTCATTTTCGATGCCTCACAAATGAGCTAAAAAAATTTTAACCGCGCACAAACGTGAACAAGCTATAACAATATTAACACAAAAGTTATTCGACCCCAAGAACAAAGTCTTAAGCCCTGGTTACATGCAACAGACCTGCCACTCTATGAAACCTCAAAATCAGGATCTCAGGGAGAAAAAATCGGGATCAACAGCAAATCACCAAGGTGACTGCGAAAGCTACTTAATATTTTTCCACGGGTGTCCATAAATTACTTGGCATATATGCACTCTGAGTGTCTTTGTTTGTTTGTGTGTGCGCGCGCGTGTGTGTGTGCGCGCGTGCGAGTTATTAATTTTTGTAAATCCTGAAGCATTCCTTCAAGCACTCCTAGTCCAAGTGTCTATACTCCTCCCCCCCCCTCCACCCCACCAATAAGTCCCGAAATACATGAACTTAAGTTGACCCCATCAACGGACGGTCCCCGACACGCAGAACTCACACGGCGATGATATGTCACGTGACACGAATGCGCGATTAAAACAATTTTACTAACGGGTCCGACTAACTGCGCGTTCACTCAAAACACTCGGATGAGCGACAGTCGTTATACTTCTAGTACTCTAGGATAACGACGGAAGCCGACCGACCAATTGTACCAACAAATCTCTTATCCCTTATAATGCGTTCAGACTAAAGCAACAACAACGGCCAAATGTTAGTCTTGTCAGCGCAGTTACATGTAGTTGTGTAAGGGTCGTTCGTCCGAGTGTTTGATGTGAACGCGCAGTTACCAGACCCCGGACAAGGCTTGTTTTGAAAGTAACAGCGAAACTACAAATATTATAGATTATTTGTATGTCCCAAATTGTAACAGTTACCAGGCTATCATCGGAGAATTCTGAGTGTGGGCAAAGATCCCACATAACTTGGGGCGAGTCAACTACTAAATGCAGCATCGATATTTCGGGAAATAGTGCTCTGAGTTCCTACTGACAAAAAGGTCAACGGGTGCTTCCCGCGATAAAGGAGAAGGCAGAGTAAGTTTTTAGAAAAATACGGCAGAACAGCAGACTGGGACAAAAAATCGGGATACACGCGGTCGAAATCGGGAAAATCGGGATGCTTGAGATTTGGGGCAAAAAATCGGGATATCCCGACTAAATCGGGATGAGTGGCAGGTCTGCATGCAACGATAATTGTATCAGATTCACTGTATGAAAGAATTGTCCGCTTTATCGAACTGTGTAGTCTGTTTACACATTTCAATCTATGGCCCAGTTACTTTCGACCGAGGAGATTCCTCGTCATAAAGCCACCATGTCTCTTCGCAGCGACAGCGATTTGCCTTTTGCCTGCTCTCTATGTGGTCTCTATGTGGTTTCAAGCTCACAAGCTCAGGACCTAATGAATGAAAGGCGAACACTGTGTACCTCTAGATCATGAGAGCACCACCCCCCCTTCCCCTGTACATTTTGTTGTAGCAGAACAGTGTCTTTAAAAAAGGGTGCCCATACGGTAGGCCTACCGTGTTGTGTGTAGAACCGAAAGCTCTGACTTGACTGCAGCAGGTGTGCAACGCACTGAGTGAACTTGATGCACAGCTTCACCCTTGATGATCAACTAAATAATAAAATTGCTAAAATATATATAATAACGCACCAAATCAGGTTTTACGCGAGCAACTTTGCTTATTTTGAGATGCTGATCTCGAATATGAAATCAGTTTTTACCTACGATAATTATTTAAAAAATTTTAGGTCCTGAGTTTAGTTCTGCGCGGCGGAAAATTTCAAAGCGAATCCACGTCACAGCACTTCTTCCTCAAGTGTGACCGCGATCGCATGGAAAATATCAAGCAGTGCTGGATTTCTCGACCGAGTCTCCAATCCATTGCTCAGTCATCCAAATTTTGTACAATTTTGTGGTTAAACCTAACTAGACCTGCATGTGAGCCTCAACCAGATTGTCTGAAAATTTTGCGCAACCCCCCCCCCATAAGAACTTTTGTGGGAGTCATGGAAGGACTTCAGAGTAACGAGCGACCACCCCAACAAATAAAGAAGAGACCTAACCCTAACCCTACCCCCAAAAAAGAACCTGCAACGGGCCTCATGTAAAAAGGCCAGCACAAGTCCAAAATGAACAAATTAAATAATTTAAAAAACCACACTCAAAAACAAACAAGGAGCATAATATGGCCTACATCTACATTGCTATAACTATAATAGGGTTTGATACAATGACACAATAGAATTGGAATATGAATCCTCCATATAGATCTAGATATTAGATCTAGTAATCTAAATAAATCTACATCTACATCTATACTAGATCTAGATCTTGTTACGTCTTGTAGAACAAGTGAATAGGAATAGGCATCCGATTCCGAACAGAGGGACTCAGCTGAGTCTAGATTCACGCACCTGATGAAATGCTTTTTACCAACATTAATATTACAGCACAACCTATGATAGGGTTTGACACAATAGAATTGGAACATGAATCCTCTGTTGAGGTCTATAATGATCTGTATAAATCTAGATCTAGATTCTATTAGAACAAGTGAGTCGGACTTGAATGAATCAACACGGTCTGAACAATTGAATTAGTCAACAAACGAAATTCAAAATGGCCGCTCGAGCACGAAACTGAAAGTAGATAATTTAGGTCGTCGTCCTTTTTCGTATTCGCATTTCTACTCAGGTTCCGACAATTATGTCGGAAACGCCGACGTCGGCAGTCAGCGCCCGGCACGAAAACGAAAGTGCCGACAAAGCCGACGGGAGAAAAAGGGGGCGCTGGCAGTCGGCCAGGCCTCGCACTCTGCAAATTGACTAACACAGGTGGGCCTAGCGATAGCATCGGCGGCTCGCGGGTCGGGTCGCGATTGTCGACAAACATGCAGGTCTACCTATCGTATGATCGTCCAGTTTTTCAACAATTTATCGTTATGTGTAACCGGGCCTTTAATTCATCATTTCAGAAGAGTCCTCCACTATTTAGCTGACCCAATCTTTTTAGCAGAGGACATTCTTCGAAAGAATAATGTAAGCATCATAAATCCAAATTTAACCAACCCTCACTGTAAGCCACAAGGAAAGATCTTTCAGTAAAAATACAAAGTAGACTGCAAACATTTTTAACCCTCCACCCCAACTGATATAAACACTTTAATACTTTATGAACCAACAGGGAACAACTTAGAAAGACAAGCAAAGCGTCTGCTGAGTATACAACAGCAAAATTTTTGTTCTTACCTCTTTTTCAAAGTTGTCTTTTGTGAATTCTAAAGAATTGAGAAGAGCATTAGTGGCTGCTAATCTCACATGGTTACTGCAAAAGAAAGTAGAAAGAAATAAAAATAATGAATTTCCCACGAGTTTTCGTTAACAGTACACATTTTGCCACTAGCAAAGAGAATGATGAAAAGTCTACAGACTACACATCAGGGCCCTACAATACTAATTTGATAAGGAAACATAAATAAAGAGAGCAGCTAGAAATAAAGAAGCAAGGATAAAAAGCCATAAAAACTGCAGGTGTTTTGTAAAGAGATAGGACGAACAGTCGCAATCAGAGCCATGAGTCTACATAAATAGTTGAGACAAAATATAGCCTCAGCTAATTTGGATTTTGCAACAGGTCTAGAAGAGGAGAAAGGAATCGACTTGTCACATATTTTAAAACCAAATTGCAAAATCGCTAAAAACTTATATTTTATTTAAACTCATTAACATTATAACTTCTTACCCAAAAGAAATAAAGAAATATTTAAAGACAGCTCAAATCATACAAAACGAGCACATATTCAGACACCAAACATCCACGTCTTTACTGCAGCAGAAGTATGAAATCCAAAAAACTGCCACTACCGATTCTGTCCATGTCAGCGGCTCGAAGAAAGCCGAGACGAAATCCAAAATGAATGTGCACTTTTTAACATAGTTCCTACTTTTGAAGTTGTCAAGTGGAAGTAGAACTGGTAAACAAGCCTGACCTCAATCTCTGATCGCCAAAATCAATCGAAACTGCGAAATTCTTGCAAATTCATTGTTTTGTTGTCGCTATGCAGCTGCTATGTAAGGGTAAACAACATGGAGCCTGGTATAATAAAAAGGCCCTTCAGTGAAAAATATTCAACTAAATTTGTGAAATTCTTGCATAAATGTATGTCAAAGTGATCTCTACAATTTTGGGTTGATTCCTATGGATTATAAGGACGTGTAGAACTGACAAAATGAGGTACATTGAAACATTCGAAGATGTATAGCGCATTTTTTTTCTCTCATTCATTTTTGCCTGAGGGAAAATACAATAAAATCAAAATACAGGTAATTGTAATTGATATAATCACATCCCTCTATTGATTCCCATCAGTTTGGTATTTGACAATACATATGTAGAGTAACTTGGAGCCTCACAAAAATGCATTAAACAGATGTCCCCCAGGCAAAAATTTGAACATGGAAAAATAACTGTGCCCAGAGCATGAACAAAATCATGGATGGAATCAGTTAATGAAGAGTCAAAGTCACACTTAAGAAGAGTCAAACCTGGGTTCTTCCTTTTTCATGGCATGGACTATTGCAGTGAGAATATCATTGGACTGTGGCTGTAAAATCTCTGGGTCCTGTAAGAGAAAACAAAAATACAAGATGTACACTTAAAACAATTAGAAAACGTCAAGAAACTGAAACTGCATTTGATTTTTCTCGCAAAAGAGAAACATGATGACACATTTTAAAAAAAAAGCCATTTAGCGTGGGAGACAAGCAGGGGGGGAGAGAGAGAGAGAGAGAGAGAGAGAGAGAGGGGGGGGGGGGGGGGGGGGCGCAACCACTCATTCAGAGCTGAATGATGAAAAAAATAAATTCGAAATCCATATTTCTGCAACAAATAGAAGTAAAAACTGTCAGTAAGATACAAGCATATAAATATGTATGTGTGTGTGCCAAAAGAAAGATACACCATTTTGAGCTACAGGCTGATAATGACTCCAAAAAAAATCACTTTAAAAAAAACAACCCAAAATGTGGTTCCATAAAAAAATTTAAAAAATGAGATAGATGTGTTAAAATAGCTTTCATCGATTTGACTTCTAAATATTTCATTTTGAATTATTTTTAGGGTAGGTACGTTTTTAAAAGACAATGAAAACTGCTTTTAAAAGGTTATTAAAATCTATTCTTGAAGCACGTTTTCTCTTCCCCGCTTAGTTTTACCATTGAATTCTAATCATGATATTGATGTCAACTGAATACAGAATTGGAAATGAATTTTCCAAGAATAAATACATTAGAAACAATTGAATCATCATTTTTTTCAAGTTTGCATGTGTTCTAAACTTAAAAGCTAATTTTCTCAAAATAAGATCTTGTATACCTTACCTTGCAAAATGTGCAATATCTCAAAAACTGCTTGATATATCTCAAAAATTCAAAAACCACTGTGTTCAGCATTGAATATCTTGTTAGCAGACCTGCCACTCTATGAAATCTAAAAATCCGAATTTTAGAGTAAAAAATAATCAGGATCTGGTGAAAAAAATCGGGATCAACGGCAGATCAGTCATAAAGGGTCCTGGTTCCCTTTTATGAGGCAAGTATGCAAGAGAAAACTTTTGCAGAAATAAGTTCACGTTTGGGCCTCTAAATAGAGGAAAAACTGAAAGACAGCATATATGTGGCTGGGGGAGCGCAGGTTGCCGTATAGCTGAAACTCTCGTAGCCTTGAAAACAACTGACAAATCACTCTAATCATCCATGCAAAAAGCCCGCGTTTTCATACAGTAACGTTTGACTTCCATCGCATATACACTCAAGGTACCCCCCCCCCCCCCGAAAAAAAAAGATCGCGCCGAGGTTGTTCATTTATTTCTTTTTAAAAAAAATTCCTTTATCCTCAATTAGTACATGTATCACAGCATGCACTTTAAGCCCAAGTGTCAAAACAATACCCCCCCTCCCCCCACACTGGTTAAGTCCCAATAAACACCTCGCCCAATGCGACCGGTGTGAATGAACTTTGTTGACCCCGACAACCGACGGTCCCTGACACACGCGTTACTCACACACGTACGAGGTCATGTCAAGTGATGCGAATGAGTGTTTGAAAGTTCCACTGACAGGTCTTGAAGATGGGCCCGACTAACCAGCACTCAGACAAAGCTGGCATTTAAAGCAACGGCACAACAACAAATAGATTATTCTTAGGCTTATGTCATAATTGTTACAGTAATCAGGACACCATCTGAGAATTCTGGGTTATAAAAGAGAAAGTAGATTTTGAGCATATCCATGTCGGAATTCAAAATCGATACTTCGTCGGTTTTAGTTTAAATAACGTGCGGGAGTCATCTACTAGATTCGGCATAGATGCTTAAGAAAGTAGCGTTCCTAGTTCCCGCCGATAAAAAATCAAATCGGTGCTTCCAGGCAAAAGAGATTGCAGAACCTTTTATTTTTTCCCCCCTAAGAATCGGACGCAACAGCCACAACGACAAAAAATCAGGATACTGGCAATCGAAATCAGGAAAATCAGGATGCTTGAGATTTGGGGAAAAAAATCGGGATGAGTGGCAGGTCTGTGTTAGGTACAATCCTAGACTCAAAAATGGTTAAAATCCGACTTTTGGTACCTTTCTTTAGGCACACACACATATTGCCTCTACCTTTCGCGATAAGCAAGAAAATAACCATACAAAAAAACTACAACCTTCCTCCAAATTTACAAGGAATAATTAAACACAAGCAGACAGAGACAGCATTGAATTCACAATGTACTCACAATATCTTGACAGATGTAGCCAACCGCCTCGAGGGTAGACTCCTTCATCATTTCTGTGCTGGCGGGGTTGATCACATTGCGGGTACAGTTGACGATAAGGTCTGGCCACAACTTGTGTGGCAGTTCTGCACATGCTATGTAAGCCACACACTGAGCAGCAGAACTGGGCCGAACTGTCTCTGTGCCCAAAGTAGCCAGAACCTAGCGGCCACAAAGAACATCCAGTTACTTCAAAATGGCAGGCATCAAACAAAATTGATACAAATGTAACACAGAATGATATCATATCTTCCAAAAACCCAAACTAAAGACACCAGTGTCAACTTAGCAAAACACTTCTAATTTATTTTATCTTTGAGCAGAAATTAACTTAAAACGCTCCTTATTTTCTTAAAAACCTACCCATTCACATATAATGTTGAGCAAACACATTTCACACAACCTCCATTAGAATGAAGCACAAGTCACAAGAGCAGAACAATTTAGAGTGCATAACGCTTAATCCTGATTTCAACATTTAAACTTACATTTTGCTTGACATGATTCCGAACATCCTCAGGGAAGGAAAGCCAGCGTTGCTGGTACTGAGCTTTAATGGTTTGATCCTTTGAGTACAGAGTGTTCTTCAGCTGCAAGCCAGCCTGCATCCGGGCCACTGGGCTGTTTCCTCCATGCTTGAGGATGTCACTCAGCTGCTTGAGCAATTCAGGCTAAAAGCACCAAAAAAAAAAAAAAAAAAAAAAAAGTTACAAACAGAACACCCCCCAAATTTCATGCATAGCCAAGAGTGAAAATGTACACAATCCACATTCTGCTTCAAAGCCGATTTTTCCAATAATTAATGTTTAAGTACGTTGGAGGGGAAAATTTACTGCTACATTTAAAAATACACATTAAAAGCGTCGCCCATAACTGATGATTATTAAACAAGACATATAAGTCATTTAACAGAAGAAAAGAGGCTTAAATGGCCACCCACTTTGCATTCTCCATATATTTACTTTAAAGTACAACACAAACCCCTCTTGCCAATCACCAAGTGCTACAGTAAAGAAGTCAATGGGGAAAGAAATATCAAAAGTAAAATAAACACAAATTTTCTAAGAGAGACATTCACAAAGAGTGAAGTTATAAATTGTTTAAATAATATATCATTTGAATTTATGTGTTACTTTTCGAGAGAGGCAATATTCACACAAAATTTTTTTTTCAACTTAAAAAAAAAAAAAAACTTTAAAAAGGAAAAACCGTAACAAAATGACATAATGATCATGCTCATGTTAAAGTTCCCAAGGGAAAAGCTGCAGCTGTACCAGTCAACAAAACCACAACCTACTCACAAGGTTTTGTGCAGCAGCAGTTTCTAAAAATTGTTGGGCACTTTCCAATTCATTTGTATCTGTAAAAGAAATTGTTCAAATGAAAGAAAAACATGGCATATATTACACAAAGTGACTATGTTTTATGAAAAATACTTTGCTTAAATTTTAGTTTTAATACACAAGATAAAATTTAGAAAATAAAAGATTTATAATAAAAACCAATGCCATCAGATTAAAAATAAGCATTAACCTTTTAAGCCGAAAGGCCTTTACATTAAAAAAAAATTTAGATTTTAATTAACATAGATAATGCATCGGATGCACACACCCAAAGTTCCTCTAATTAAAAAATTCTGATAATCTGAGGAGGGGGGGGTTCAGATGACATGCCTTTCAACAGATTGCGCTTTTTTTTCTTTGCATCTCACATTTTCTTTCACACAGTAATCAAATTTTTCCACTTTTATTTTTAAACCTGGAGTCGAATCAAGTACGACAAAGTTAAGTATATGAGATGGAGAATCAGTAACGGAAGACACAATTAGTAGCCTAATGTTATATATTTCTTTAGAAAACCCAGATAACAGAACAAGACAGCACCGATCATCAGTCATAAATTGAAATCAAAATTATACATTCTTAATTCACCCTGAACTGTCTGTCCCCTAGTCTAAGTAGGCCTACTGAATTTCAATATTGAACAGGCGAAGACGAGATTTCGAAGACATATCCAATGAAATCATGTGTAAAGCCTATATGAGAACTAACTTTGCAGAAGAATAGAGATTATTATTTAAATAGTCAATTGAATAATCAAAATCAAATCAGGCCATGGCCAACCGAATGTTGCACGACAAACGTACATTTACCACCCTTGCTTCACTAGGCCTCTATACTAATACACAATGCAGGTCTACAGAAGCCCATTGATTGATGTGTGCGATAAAGAAGGCAAACCGGATCCCCCCAATTGGTCCAAAGCACGTCTATCTCAATTAAAAAATATTTTAAAAACTATTAATTTGCGACGGAAATGAAGTTGTTTGTGTTCTGCGCATCAATATTTAGTAGAAAATGGACAACTGTTGGCTAAGTGTGAGACGGGAGGGAAAGTAAAAAAAATACCAGATGACGTATTTCCGCCATCTATTTTTGTCGTCTTGCGGAGTTTCCCCCAAGACTCAGGTTTCTTTTCTAATCAAGCTGAACTACACGTGTCGCCATTTTGTTTTGCCCGGAAGTTCTCGCGCTACTCCCCCCTCTCTCTCTCCAGGATTGGGTTGCTTAAAATTTTTTTTAATCAACTTGATTTTTTAAATAATAATCAGTGATTTAAATCACTTTTTTTTAAATGTATTTTTATTCAGTTTTTACACATTTCAACATTCAGAATTCCTTTCCTTGGTTTTATTAAACAATATAAGGATAAGGTTTAGTAGACTAATATAATCATGCTTAAAAGTCTGCTTTCCCCCCCCTGTCACTGTAAAATAATACAGTTCTCACTTTACTTTTTTTTCATAATCGAAAACCAGGGTTGGGTTGATTTAAATCAGGTCCATTTAAATCAGTTGATTTTTAAAAAATTTAAATCAACTTGATTTTAAAAATAAAACTCAGTGATTTAAACCACTTTAAATTAAAAAATTGCATTGTTTTTACATCTTTAAACATTCAGAATTCCTTTCCTTGGTTTTATAAAAGTGTCATTGTAAAATAATACAGTACTCAATTTACTTTTTTTTCATAACTGAAAACCAGGGTTGTGTCGATTTAAATCAGTTGATTTTAAAAAATATTTAAATCAACTTGATTTTAAGAATAAAACTCAGTGATATAAATCACTTTTATTAAAAAATGTATTGTTTTTACACCTTTAAACACTCAGAATTCCTTTCCTTGGTTTTATAAAACAGATATAAGGTTTAGTAGACTAAAATAATCATGCTTATAAGTCTGCTTTCCCCCCTGCCACTGTAAGTAGTAAAATAATACTGTATTCAATTTACTTTTTTCCCCCATATATAATCGAAATTAGCATTTTCTTTTTCTTTTTAGACAAATACGAGCGCACGCACACACAATGTAATAAAATGCAAGTTTATCTAAGCATAATTACCCCCCCCCCCCCCCCTTCCTTTTAGACGGACATTTTCTTCATTTTTTGTCTGTATCCATAATCGAAGTGTATACAAACCCGGTAACCAGGAACAAAGTCACAAAGTATACAGACCCGGTAGGGGAACTCTTTTGTGATTTCGGGAAGTTTCAGCCCCCAGACCCGGTAGAAATCTAGTGTGTGTGTGAGAGAGAGAGAGAGAGAGAGAGAGAGAGAGAGAGAGAGAGAGAGAGAGAGACAGACAGAGAGAGAGAGAGAGGTGCTAGCAAAATGTAATGACATGCCCCAGTTGGCAGGGGGGGACGAGAGAAAGATAGAGTGTGAAGTAGGTGGGGACAAAGGAAGACAGAGACAAACAAAGAAAAAGAGAAGGCGAACGATACAGAGAGAGAAATAAAGAGGGTGACTGCTCGATTGACATTGTTCTTTTCTTCAAATTGCGCCTTGCGATTCCTCCAACTCCAAAACGGAGGATAAAAGGATCATTCATCGAAAAGACATCCGCAATCTTCATTTAGATCTAGATCTAGGCTAGCCGCGAAACTAGATCAAAGATTTATATTATGTCTGTCAGCCTAGATTTAAATCTAGATCTAGACCTAGGCCACAGATCTAGATCAAGAAGAACCTAGGTCTACCCTGAGCCAAGAGGGCGCAGAAACTCTCCGAAATCACAAAAGAGTTCCCCTACCGGGTCTGTATACTTTGTGACTTTGTTCCCGGTTACCAGGTCTGTATACACTCCCATCCATAATTCACTGATATAGCAGATTAAGGCTTTCTAAAATTGCAGTTGCTTAAATTAATCATTAGTTAAAATAAAGACAATGCATTTTGCACTAAAAGAACTTACTTTTAGCTACCAAAAATCCCAAACTGAGTCGACATATTAAAAAAAAATAATTTTTAAAAAATTTTTATTTAAAAAATATTTAAAAATCACCAACCCTGTCTCTCTCCAGTCCACTGCCCACAGACAAAATTGTACGCTTTTAGGCTAACAGTAGTAATGGAACGTTTGTTCACGGCACAGAATTCTACAATTTTTCTGTTATCACAGTGTAGAATTCTGTGGTTCAGGGCCAGGGTGAACGTAAAATAGGTTGGCCTAGATCTAGATAATAGTGAACGCACACCGGGTGAGAATAGTATAGCCAAAAGTCAAAAGACTCCCCTCCGCTATTCTCACCCGGGGTGAGAATAGAGGTGGCCATATTTGGGCTAGCTAGGAGCCCGCTGTAGCTTCATGTGTCAAGAACTGAAAAGGATGAACCAGCGAAGTGGTATTTTGGTGCTTTTTCGGTAGTTCCCATCCTCCTTATTTGACCTACATCTAGATCTATACGTTTGATTCACGGAGAGCTAAGATATCAAATCAAACCTTAAAACATTAAATTATGGTAAAATTCAGGGGGGCATGCCCCCCTGAAACCCCCCTTCCTATTAAAATTTTTGTTAGGTCAGGGGGGCAAGCCCCCTGAAACCCCCCTACTCTTGGGTCCAAAACCCATGAATAACAATTGCGGGGTGGGAACTACCGAAAAAGCGCCGGTATTTTTGCTTGAGAGCAAAAAGACTGAGGAGCCCAGCTCAACTCTCGGAAGATCTACCCATCTCTCAAACTGAAACTGAAACTGAAAGTTCATGTTAGATCTAGATCTATATATATCTAGATTCTAGGACTCAGTCATTTCTAAAATAAAAATTATCTACTTCTACTACATCTAAACCAGATTCTAGATTTAGATCTTATATCTAGTTCTGGAGTCTAGAATCTACTAGGCAAGAGATTGTTATCTCCAAACAAGTCCTAACCATGACCATTAGTATTAGAATTAGATCTAATCTGCATCGTTGAAATTTGGCATTTTTAGGAAGGGTATTGATCTAGATCTAGGGTAATATTACCGGTTCGGTCAAAATAAGGACGAAAACAGGCACGTCGACTTTAAAGCTTTATATCTCCTATCTGCCTTGCCCTAGAGACAAACCGAAACCAGCTACAGGAAGTCATGTGATTGGATGACCCCAGGAATGACCTGTTTCAGCTTGTTCTCATGTTTGAGGCCCTTACTGGGTGCAAAAGTGACGCCCGATTTATTTACGAGTTCGGTCGCATTTTTTTTGGTTTTCTCATGGATTCGGGCAGTATTTTGACATTCGGTCATTTTCAATTATTATCACATTCGAAGTGATTATTCGGACTCGAGTCCGAATATGAAATTTTTTTATTCGGACTCTGATTCTTGTCCAGCATGACATCACTTCCGACTTCCTGTGACTCGTGAATCCGGCTTCCTGTCCTGCCTCACTCGTGACGAGCCCCAGGCTGGGTAGAGACCGGGATCACTTCGGGCAAAAAGGCGTTTTCTGCAGGAGTCGAGTTTTAATCTTATGATGAATTTGAGGCCGGCCTGAAAAGTTAGAGCGCTTCTAATAAATGTTTATTTGTCAAGAGGTCATCAGAAGCAATTAAAGATGGCTCGTTCGCGTGTGTCGGGGTCGGATGGGCGGCCTGCACACGTGTGGCTGTGTGCGTGTCGGGAGGGTGGGGGGGGGCACTATCGGTCCGGGCTTTGAACGTCGCATACGCGTCAGTCTCCCCCCCCCCGGGCAACTGATCATTATTACAATAATAAGCTAGTCTTGACGTAGATCTACGTAATGAATTGTGCGCTGGTCTATGGAATCAAAAGTTGCCGTATGCTCAGCTCTACACAGCAACACAAATTTTTTCTTGGTTAACAATCGATATGACACAGGCTTGTGTATTTGAACGAATCGGTCTTTTTTTTTTTTTTTACACACAGCTCATAATATGCAGGGGCCAGGTGGTCTGCTAATCTTCAATTTTACCTTTTTCTACAACAAAGAAAGTGGGAAACGGGGGAGAGATGGGGGCGTATCAATGAGGCGGCGGGAATTGGATCGGCAGATAAGGTGTGGGGGAAACTAAAAAAAGGCGGAAAATTGGAAGCACTGAACGTTAGATCTATAGAACGAAGACACTTCCTTTTTTCCGGACCCGAGTCCGAATAACAACGGCCTATCACATTTGTTTCTTTGCAAGCTTAATAACATGATTTTTAATGTTTGTTATCAACACTTGGACACAATGATAGTTTGTCTAAAGTGGTATTCACCATTTATAGCTATTTTAATGAGTATGTATCTGACCCACTCTACTACGTGGAATCTGACTCTACTACACTGGCATCTGGCTCACTCAACTACACTGGATCTGACTCGGCTACACTGATATCCGACTGTATTACACACTGGTATCTGACTATTACACTGGCGTCTGACTGAGTTAATATGCTGTACCTGACTCTACTATTATTTAAATTATGCACAAATTCTTTATTCTTTGTTATATAACCATTGGCTTTTATATTATCTTATGTGCCCGAAGGATGAGAAACTACGGATTTTATGTTACAATCCGGCCACCCCCCTTTGGGCAAAAACGGCGAGACTAAACGGCAAATTCTCTTTCATCCTTGACAGGGCCTCATATGCAAATAACTCTCCAGCCTTCAGAGTCTACTAAAACGTAGAATCTAAGTCACAGGCTCCTTCATCCACAACCAATGTTAACTCTTCCGGGGAAAGAGCTTCACGCTGTTTTGCTCAGTTGAAGAAAAAGCTGTCTTAAGGGCTATTTTTAGCAAAATATCGCCGTAACTGTTGTTTCAACGAAAGTAAGGGAGGTTGCTTTAGGTTTGTGTGCCACTCTTTTGGGGCTAGATTTGAAAACAAAGTTTTAAACTATCTTTTTGTACTCCAGTGCCCGACAGCAAAAAAAGGCCGGCACTATTTCTCCGAACGTTCGGGAAAATAAAGCTGGGCATTATTTCTCCGAACACTCTGAAATCTCATCCTTTCCCGCAAATTTCGGATATTATAAAGATCTATAATTAAAGTATAGGCCTACCAAAGATTGTTCGTTTACAATGTGGTTCGATCGGTCCAAAAAATGTCCGCAGTAAATATTTATATAAAGAAATGCTACAACTCCAAACAGTTTTTCGCTACAGATATATGACGTGTTGCCTATGAAGGGTGCTGCTCTTAAACGTAATGTGTTGTGTTCACTCGTGTGCTGTCTAGATCTAGATCTACGGAGGGTTATTGATAACGACACATAGAACTGGCATCTGCGTTTGTCACTGCTGCGACCAATGTACTGACACTGGCAAGCCCCTTAATGTGTGTTATTCCATAATTTACATGTAGGCTAATATCCTGTACTTTTTTTTTTTTAAATTACGCACATTTAGGGTTAAAACAGCAAATTTTCTTCGGACAGGTGGACACACGCCCTTATTTGTTAATGTTTGTTGTTGTTTGTGGGCTGTTCTAATTTTGATTTAATTCTGTTGTGAAACCTTTCTTTTTCACGTTTTTACACTCATCATTCTAAAAATCTCTAGACTAGCTCTTGAAAATTAAATAGATATAGACCCAAAAATTTGCTCCTGTGTGTGTGTGTGTGTGCGCGTGTATGAGTGTGTCTGTGTGTGGTTGTAAGTGGAGAGTGAGGAGTGTGTGTGTGTGTGTTTGATTTTCGGGCTTTATTATTTCAGCCTTTATTCAGTAACAGTTCAAAGTATACAAAAATAGAAAAACACAGGATCCATTCACTCCATGGCTCATGAGTCGTTCGTCTCTTTCCCTTTCAGTTTCACTCATTCATTTAATTCCCCTGTTCTCTCCCGCGGCTCATCCCCGTCCGCATGGCTTTCATACCCCACCCCCTCCCTCCAGGCACACACAAAGAAAATCTCACTCATTCCCTTGCACCCTGCGAACCATGGACAATAATAGGCAAAACACTGCCTGAGCTGCATTCCTTTCGTTCGCGAGCTGTGGACCAGGCCAGGGAGGTCGGTGTCGTCGTCTTGTAGTTGCTGTCGCCTGTGGATACACTCGCACATTCTTCCGTTCACCCGCTCTTTCACTCACATTGTCTCTCCATCCACAGCTCAGCTCGTCATACGTTCAAAAGTTGCCCACTGGTCATGTTTAGTTAGTGTGTGTACATGTGCATGATGGTGGTGGGTGTGTGGTGGGTGTTACTGAAGGTTGTCTGTAGGCGGGCTTGCCATGCGGTGCTCCTTCCCATACCAGAGGCAGAATGAAAGTTGGCGCCGAACTCTCGCAATAAATAGGCCAAAAATCACGAGACCGGAAGCCGGAAACTGTTCCGAGAAATAAAGATCGGCACTATTTCTCAGAACGTTCGGAGAAATAGTCACTTCGGAAAAAAAAACGTGCTGCCCGAACCGGTACGATTACTCTAGATGGTAAGATTGAAGAATACCGGACCAGCGGACTGACTTTGCCTATGTCTCAACCTTTGGAATTCATAATTTTACCTTTTTTAATATCTCTCAATGGAGAATGTCGGACCGGTGGATCTATTCATTAAAATTTTGTCAGGGGGGAGACCCCCCTGAACCCCCCCCACCTACCCCACTTTCTCGCGCAATAAATTTTTACAAGTGGTCCGGTATTCTTCAATCTTCCCGATCTAGATTCTCGGATTCTAGACAGAAGAAAGAGAATTTCAGATGCCAGGGCATTGCAGTCAGCTGGGAAGGGGAAGCTATTAAGATTAAAGAAGGCAAAATGAGAACATCATGTCCTGAGCCAATTCCACTACTGTTCACTACATTTTCTGTTTGGAAAACCCAATCTCTCATTGTGATAGCCTAGAATCTCTACCTCAAATCCATCCAAACTAACCCCCTAATAACCTAATACTGAGGCAGCAAAAGCCATGAACATGACATGAACTGAATAGATTCTAGATCTAGAAATCTAGCAGGTCATGTCACGAGGTCTAATTTCTAGACCTAGACAACTTTAGGTCAAGAATATAATTTAGATTATCTAGAGACTAGATTCTAGGTAGATTTAGATCTAGATCTAGATATCTATCTAATTTCTAAGAGAATATCTTTTTGTTGAGTGGAGGGGCGGCCTGCCTTGTAATTTGTAAAAGTGTCATGCTCTATTTAAAGATCTGATCCAACGACAAGACCTATTTTAGATCAAGACCAAGAATCAAGAGTCTACAATCTCATAATACTTTGTCTACCCAGACCTTAAGAATCCAGAATTACGACCATGGGCAAGGTAGAAATAGACGTTTAATTATTGGAATGCAATTTTTAATTAGCCAACAGCCACAGGGGCAGTTTGCCGAGATAAAATCTCGAGATTTTTCAAGCAAGGATCTCTAAACTTCGAGATCCATCTCAGTATCTGGGCCGAACATGGGCCGAACAAGGGAGGATAAGAACACTTACCGGGTGACACGGTCTTCTCTAATATTTTTATGAGATCCATGTTAAATCATAGATCCTAGTCAAAAGGTAAGAGAATGGACGATCCAACCTCGCTGGAGTTGTGTGGACTGCAAAAGTTGTTTGAAAAAAAATAAACATGCAATTCGTTGAAGAAGGTCAGTCAACACATGTGTGTTGAAGGCTAGCGTATTGATACATCAACAGAATTCCGGTGCACAGTTGCCTGTGTTGTAAACACTGATTGGTCACTTCTATACATCCGCTGAAATTCAACCAATCATATATTCTGAAACAAAATGTCCAAGAACGTACCGGCCTGTTGCCGGCAACTAATAATCAATAAAGACTGAACAAACTGTACCAAGACAGAACACGAGGACATAAATTTTTAGTAGATACGCTCAAAATCTTTCTTCAACAAGTTAAAACGAACAGAAAACTGAATGCGATCTCTCAATTATTTCCCATGGAACCAAGGCGCACTCGCTTCCTCTTTCAGTCCATTTTGCTGGTGTATTTTAAAACAAGAATTCGCGCCATTGCAATTCAATAACATTTAATGTAACAATCTTATTTACCGTGCTCTGACAAAATATAGCATAATACGTTTGATACTTCTTTGAATTCTATAAATTAAAGAAGGGAGGAGGATAAAAAATACTGTTTAAATTTCTGCGTTTTAAAGGAAAAGGCTACGGAATCTTTGCTCCTTCAGGAATTTGAAGAACATACATTGTATTAATAGCATATATCTGTCTGAAAGCATGAATTTCGAACAGTGTGAAGAAAACCCAATATAACGTGTAGCCTAGGCCTAATTATTGCTTACACTTATGTGTATTAAATTAACAATTTTATAGATCTAAATCTATCTTTGAACATCGTTTGGAGATTGAAAGTAGAGCTTCCGTTCAAGGGGACAAATGACAAAGATACACAAACATAATTTTAAAAAAAAAAAATTCTGAAATTCTAGAAAGAAAAAGCCATCTGAGGGCAATTTAGGGACCGTTCACAATAAATCTGGCCCCAAAAATGACACCCCCCCCCCTTTCCCCCTGTCATCTTCTGTCATCTTTCCCATGAATCCCCCTCAGTTGACAAATGTAGGCTATGCACACATGTACATTTAGATAGAACCTGCAGATCTTACGGATGCATTTTATATTTAAACCTTTGATCTTTTTTTTCAAATAGAAAAAACAACTATTGTTTATTAAAGATAATACAACAAAGAAACAGCTTATAGATCTACCTCCAAATCTACCTGAAATGTCAAATTATTAAAACTTATTAACAACTTTAACAAATCAAAATAATAACTGTTCAACCACCCCCCTCTGAGTCTGAGGTAACGGCATTTGTGAATGGTCCCCATAGATTTAAGCTAGAAAACTCTGAAGACGACGAACAACAGCAAAAAAAGCATACCAATAAAGGACCTGACATGCACCAAAACAACGGCACACCACCACCATTCAAGATAAAAAGAAAGAAACCTGACATAGGAACAAGACATTTTGAAAAGATGGACAGAATACTGCTGAGAATTGTACAACTACAAAGCCACGGGAGACCCTGGGGTACTAAACGTTCCCCCAGCAACCAACATCGATAAACACCCAATCCTTCGAGACGAAGTTGAAGTATCAGTTATAGCAATGAAGAAGGGGAAATCAGCAGGAGTGGATAACTTCCTAGGACAATTAGTAGGCCTACAAGCAGGGGGAAAGGACATGACACGATAAGCGCTCTGACTGTCATATGCAACAAGATCTGGCAGACAGGAAAATGGCCAACACCATGGACACAATCACGTGATTACACTCCCCAAGAAAGGTAACCTGCAATTTTGTCAGAATTATCGCACCATCAGTCTAATAAGCCACCCCAGTAAGATTATGTTGAAGATAATGCTGAACAGACGGAAATCACAGGCAGAAAAGATCATTGCTGAAGAGCAGGCAGGCTTTAGAGCAGGGCGCAGCACAACAAAACAGATCTTCAACCTCAGGATACTGTCAAAACAGATCTTCAACCTCAGGATACTGTGCGAGAGGTACCTCCAACACCAGAAAAACCTATACCATATCTTCGTGGATTTTAAAAAGGCCTTTGGCAGGGTCTGGCATGCAGCTTTATGGGCAACCATGAGGAAATACAACATCAACGCCAACCTGATCAACGTCATACAACAACTATACGACAAGGCCTCTAGTGCAGTCTACCTTAACGGTACAACGTTCGGGGTGAGGCAAGGCTGTTTGCTCTCTCCCACTATTTTCAACATATCTTTTTAGCACGAATCATGACTGACACACTGGAGTGGAAGACCACAATGAAACAATCAATATAGGAGGCAGGACAATCCCAAACTTGCGTATTGCCGATGACATCGATGGATTAGCAGAAGGAGAACAGGGGCTCGCCACACTAGTGGAGCGGCTGGACACAACTTCAGCGGCATACGGCATGGAGAACAGTGCCGAGAAAAACAAGCTAATGACTAATAATACCAATGGCATCAACGCGGAATTCAAAGTCAGTGGCGAGAAACTTGAGACCGTCAACCAGGGGCGAAGCGTCTATATAATCAAATAATCACTGCTTCCCTTCCTAATTTTGAAACATTGTTGCTGTCAAATTCATCCATAAAC